TAGCTTGCCAAGTCTTTCTTCTGAAGACTGCTGGGTGGGCTTGGACAGCGGCCTTTGAACCGCTGTGCCACCCATGCACCTTGCAATCCATGAAGGCCTTGCCAAACCCACAGAACGGCTTGCATCCAGCCAGCCAGGTCCTGCGCACAACAGAACGAAACACTGCCGAACCCTGCACCACCCTCACGGGGGTTCTTAGGCTTGACGCCACAGCTGCAGCCACTGCGTCAATCCACCTTGTCCGGGCCTCTTTTTCACCAAACAGAATGCCCTTTCCCAGGGATGGGGATCCTCCAAGAATACATCCAAAGTATGCGAGGCAAAGGAACATTTTGGATATTATTTCCTCTGAGACAGATTTGCTTACTTTTCTGGAAATCCAGGATACTTTAAATATACTCTCCCAAGCACCATACTTCAACGACGTCAATTCTCCTTAGGTCTTCCTTATTCATTGCCCAACTTTTGCAAGCACGTGAGGTGATTGGAAATGCCATGGTTTGGATCAGGTACACCGTAGTCCTCAAAGTGACATTTTCCCCTTTCCCACTGTCAAGAGGTTAGTGCAGCAGACTTGCCCAGTGCGAGATATCACTGGACTTCTTGACTGCTGCTTCCACAAGCGGGGATTATGATCCGAGTGGAACAAACTCCTTGACAACGTCAGTCTTCGCTTGTTTGTCACGATGTTGTCCATTGACCCAGTTGGGAGACTTTGGGTTTCGATCATTGAGTTTGTACAGGAATCCATATGGAAGGCTACAGTTGTTGGTCTTCATCAGTAAGTGCTTCAAGACCTCTTTGAAAGTTTCAGATTCCAGAATTCTACTTGTGTCTTATTTACCTCTTGTTTTCCCCTCATTTCAGCCTAGGTAAGATGACCTCATCATTAAAACACAGACTACTGCTGTTTTACTAGAGAGTAGTTAGGAACTTGGCAGTATGTATATAATTCTAAATATGTACATTCCAGGTGCAGAAAGCATTCTGTATGAATTAGTTCCACTTCCAGAACTAGAGAAAATACCCCATTAATAACAATCAGCTACTATTAACCATTGGTTCTTCCATTATCTAGTTGTGCAACTTTAAATCAGTCAGTGGATCTCATCAGACTGTACGACCTCATCTTTAGAGAGAGCCTCCTTCTAGCTCTAATGTCCTGTGCAGCCAGCACACTGAACAGAACCAGGTTTTGTTGGTTGATTCTTGATGTTATCTGTCTGCTGAGAGGTCTGCCCAAGCACGAGTCACAGTTTGAGAGAGGGCTGAGCCAGTGGACAATCTGGCTGTGCTCACCCAAAGCCGCGCCACACTGAGATGTTGACTGCCTCCATCCTGACAGCGGCCTGCTTGTCCAGGAAGGCTGAAGTGAGCAGTGTCAGAAGATGAGGCAACACTAGCGCTTTTCTGAGAATCTCCTCCGGCGGTTTCGTGGTCGTTCTTAACAGTTCTTCAGACTGTACAGCTTTCATCCTTACTTGGTTGCTCTTCACATCAAATTTGTATTGAGGGCTCATAAGTGTTATCTTTAAAGTGCAAATTAAAAATAGACATCTACGTAAAACATCTGATGCAACAGATGTCTAACTGGCCATATCAGGTACTTTTCTTTTTATTGGTAACTTCTTTTTTACATATGACACATACACAGAATTTTGCTTGGCAGGAACTGCCAACACTTTGAACATGGTCCTTTCAACAAGCATGCAGAACAAGCGGTAGAAAGCAGCCACCCGCCTACCACCACCACCACCCCCCCCCTCTCCACTCTGTCTGCTCTCCACCAAAAGGTGGTCATCCAGATCACCTCTAACCCTGTAGCCTAACTTGGCCTGCCTTCGAACATTTATCTGAGAAGCCCTGGTCGAGGAGAGGTTATGTGTTGGGCTGCTAACTGCAAGGTCAGCAGATCAAAACCGCCAGCTGTTCTGTGAAAGAAAGACGGGCTTTGTGCCCCGTCCAGAGTTAGTCTGAGCACCTCGCAGGGACACATCCACCTGTCATATAGGGTCCTTGAGTTGGCGGGGACTGGATGGCAGTGAATTTGGTTTGGGTTTGGAATGTTTATTGGTTTTGTCTGGAACTTTTTAGTGTCATGCCCTATGCATTTAGCCAGGATCGAATGTATTTAAGGAGGGAAGATAGAAAAGAGGAGGAAGAGCAGGAAGGAGGAGGTAATTTTATTTAAAATAAGCAAATTGCAGAAGGATTTATAGCCACAGAAAGAGTTCTACTCTGTCCTGTAAGTACTTGGGGCAGAGTGGACATGCCCCTATTTTAATTGTATTTAAATGCTGGAATAGCTGAACTTCCAAAAGATGCCTTGAACAAACTGATGGCATGCATATGTAGATTTATGGAAGCCAGCCAATGCAGCAAGGTAGGCAAACTGCCTTAACTTTGGTAATGTTCATCATTCACAGAGGAGTCCTGGTGGGCACAGTGTGTTCATCATTGGGAAGCTAACTTCAGAGTCAGTGGTTCAAATGCAGCAGCCACTCCTCAGGAGAAAGACGGGGCCGTCTTCTCCTAAGCTGACTGACCGTGTCAGACCACCGCGGAGCAGTTCTGCTGTGTCCTGCAGGGTCCTGTGCGTCCGAATGGACTTAATGGCACTGGGTAATCTTGCACATTCACATAGTGAGGCTCGGGCACAGCGTAGAGAGCTGGCTGGCTGGTTGCGTGGCATGTCATGCACATGTAAAGCCAGATGTCACAATCTTTGCTCCTGAAGTCGTATAAGTCATTCTGAAGTGAAGGCAGCCCTAGAGCCAGTGTTTAAACAAGCAGAAGTACCTGATATACACTAGTGCCTTCCTGTATGTCCATCCGCTTGAAGAACTGTAATAAAAAGTGGGGGGGAAAGCTCCTGGCCAGTCAGTCCATCCCCACTCATGGAGACCCCATGTGTCAGAGTAGACCTGCTTCATGTGGTTTTCTTGGCTGTCACCTTGGCCAGGCCTTCCTTTGCTGTACCACAGAGTGAGGTCAAACTGCCAACCTGGAGGTTAGTAAGTCAAATCCCAAACTCCACCCCCTGCCCTCAAGTGCGTTCCACCTGCTGGCAACCCTGTATGGGTGTCCTGCGCTGTAAGTCTTTACAGGAGTGGAGGACAATCCTTTGCGCCCCTAGAACAGGAAGAATGCACAGGAAAGGTGGTCAGCAGACCACAGCACCTGGATGGGCAACAGGGAACACATAGCTTGGGGCAGCTAGCACTAACCACTCCAGGGGACTCTGGGCACTTGGCAGGGAGTCCGGATCCATGCTTGCTGTTTGCATCCAAGACAGTAAGGAATTGAGAAGTTCATGTTAGTTCCCTTTCAGAGTGTAGGGAGTGATACAGTCATTTCAGAGTGAGCCTAATCAAAACAGAGTGAGAAAGTCAAAAGGCTGTTTAACATGTTGAAAAGGATAAATGATTTCTCTGGAAAATTCTTTGGCTGAAGCCCCTTCATTTATCGAAGCCCCTGGATCCATGCAGTGTGCCCGCTGCAGTTTTTATGCACGGATTTGCTTTATTCCAGGGATGCCCCTTAGATAAGGTGACCAGATTTTAACATTGGTAAAGCGGGACAAAAGCAGGACACTATTGATAAAACTCATATCCTGGCGAAATAGCCACATGGCAGCCGAAAACCGTATACCCTAGCTTGTCGTGCATTCTTTCCAAAAATTGGGACCTTTTTAAAACGCCGTGGGACATGGGAAAAATTGTCAAAAATCAGGACTGTCCCGCCAAAAGCGGGATGTCTGGTCACCTTACCCTTAGAGAACAAGCATTTCTCTGGTTGCCAGAAATTTGGGGGCCTTCTGGGAACAGGACTTCTAAGTGGCAAGTATGTCTGAAAGGCTGTGGTCCCAGGCCATTTTGGGTCCAAGACCCCGATAAACACGGTCTCCAGAACCAGAGGGAGCACACCGCTCTTCTTAAAATTGAAGGTGTTTACGCCAGAGATGAAATGGAATTTTATTTAGGCAAGAGATGTGTGCAAAGCAAAGGACAACACAGTGACTCCTGGCGGCAAGCCTAACAAAACCAGTCATCTGGGGAAAGGTAACTCGTGCCCATGGGAGCAGTGGCATGGTTCCAGCCACATTCCAGAGCAACCTGCCTGCTATAGCCATTGGACACAGAATCCGTGTGATGCTGTACCCCTCAAGGGTTTAAACTGACAGAAAATTAAATTGTGCATTTGTTAAAAAAGAAAACAAAACAAGCGTTCATTTTTGTTCCTCTCGCTTCACTGCCTGTCCATCTTCGCCTTGACCTATGGCTACAGTAATAAAGTGCTTAGAACACAGTGCAGGCTGGCCAAAGATTCTCACTCCCTTCTCTTCCCCCTCCTCCCCTCAGATGACGAAGTGGTCGGAGTGAGCGTCAGCATCCGAGACCGGGAGGATGTCTTCCAAGTCTGGAATGTAAATGCCTCCTTAGTGGGCGAAGCCACGGTGTTAGAAAAGATCTATGAACTTCTGCCCCACATATCTTTTAAAGCAGTATTTTATAAACGTAAGTGCCTTATTTCCAGTTACTACGTTCTTGCTTGTTTTGTCAGACTCTCAAACATAGAAACTGTGTTGCAAACAAGGTGAAGGCTGGAGTCACTGGGTGTAACTCAATAAAATGCAGTGAAGGGGTTTTTTTGGATTTGTTTTCTAAAGACATTTAGTCTTGAAAATTAAAACGAGATTTTGTTTTGCTTGACTGCACGGATCAGAAGAGGCGAATAGATATTGGATTTGTTGTTTTCAAAAATCTAAACCCGATCTTCAGTTTGTCACTCTGGAGGCAAAAAAATAATAACAAATTACATTCTATTTGAAACAATAGTAACAAAAATGTTATTATGTGATCTGTCAGGTAGATAGTCAATCATCACTTCATGAGCAGGAATTTGTAACGTATCACATCTGTGTTTGGGGAGGAGATTCTCTCTAAGAGAGGGGCTGATTGACTGGTCTACTGAAATGCTAATGCGCCCTCAGTCCCAGTGACTGGGCAGAGAATGGAAGGAGAATTCAAGGCAGTCAGGAATGCTGACAATGGTTTGAATAGGTGTGTGGACCCATTGTTTCCATCACGATTCATGTTCATCTCTTTTGTGTGCTTTCTTTAAAAAATCATCTTTTTCACAATGAAAACAGTGCGATTAAACCAATATTTGGCAGGTGGATCCAATTGCTGATTGCACCTTTAACAATGAGTTACAGACAGAAATTGACAGCCCTGCTCAGATATGATAAATTTCCCATTTCCCATGCTGTTCAAGAGTCAATAACCCATTTGAAAAAAAAACAAAAAACAAGGACTGGATTTTATTGCATCTCAGATGCCCTGAGTAATAAGATGCCCTGTTATTGTAATATTACCCAAAAAAGAAAAAGAAAAGGCTCCCACTTCCAGTCTGACTTCTTTGAGCTTTCTGATTTGCGGAAGGGCGGGGCCAGCGCACCGGAGCATTGTTACAGTAGAAAGGATGCTCCCCGCTGTCACTTGCCTCTGCGCTTTCAACCCCTGGCCAGAAAGGCGATACAAAATGAACAATCTGTTTCCAAATTACCCTCATGTGATGGAGGCACTGCAATGAAGGCCACCCTGGATGGAGCCAGGCCATCGCGGGTCAGATGATGCAGGTACCCACCGCCAGACTGCGAGGGCCTGCAGATGTATCCCAGGCAACAGCGCCTGAATTCGAAACTCGAATTTAAACAAAAGTGTTGGACCAGAGGCTCTGCCTAGTAGCTGTGCTGTGGAGCTCACCAATCAGCAGATGCCGTTTCTGTTCCTCAGGGAACATTAATTATAGTTTCACTTCCAGTATTAATCAAAAAGTCATGAGGGTTTTGCTTGCTTATTTTCTTTATCAACTCCACAAGCCCAGCTCTGCAGAAGCTCTCCAGAAAGGAGGTGTGTTTCCTCGCCAAGGCCACTGAGAGCTACAGGTTCTTGACCAACTTTGACTTGGGGCCTCATTGTCAAGAAACTGCCTGAACAAAGGAGAAAGGCAACTTACCATTTCGATTTGGTGTAATTAAATCAGGCTCCCCGACTTCCATCCCCTCCCACAGTGTGACCCGGAGCAAGTCCCAAGTTGGCCTCCCTCTCTGCCCTTTGCTCATGTGAATGTGGAGGACGTTGGTCTCAGATGATCTCCAAGGCCCCTTCTGCTGTAGAACTCTGTTAAGACGTGTCCAGGTGGCTGTTGGGAGCAGCAGGCTCGGGGGAGTACTTGTGAGGGACTGAGATCGCTGAGAGGCTAGGCTACTTTTCAGGCCCCGGCATTCATCAGGCAAAATTGACCAAGGCTGCTGACTGATTCACTGCTGTTGTGATTGCTGGGGGTGGGGGGGTCGGGACCAAGCAAGGGCAAAAGGCGGTAGTTTGGCTCACTGACTCAAGTTGAATGGGCACCCTGTAGGTAGATAGAGACCCTTGAGAACTCACGAGTCAGGCAGAAGAACCACTGCAGGTCTTACTCAGTAGAAACCCACGAGTTCATGGCACACACACTAACGTTCCAAAGCTCACTGGTGACTCAGATATAAATTTTGGACTGAGGACAAGTACGTCTCTCTCTTGTCCGGCAGGCGGTGCTTTGCTCCACGGTTCGTGCACCTCACACCGCTAAGGCGATTTGGAGACATGAGGTGGGGGCTGAGCGCTCCCTCCCAGCACCGTGAAGTGGCCAACTGCAGGCCTTTACTGGGTCTTCATACCAGGCTTTTGGTTTAAGGAGTCCCGAGTGCGGAGGAACACAAATTAGGGGCAGGCTAGCTTTTGCACCTAGCAAGGAGGCCTGGGCATGCGGCTGCAGCTTCTGATGAGCCCAGTGTGACTGGCCTACAGGCTGAAGACCGGACAGAGGAGGAGCTTCCACTGCTCCAAGATCCTCCCCAGCTCCGTCCAGCTCCTCATGCTGCTGATTGGTTAGAGCAGGGGGTAGCCCCTCCCGCCACCCCCCTTCCACAGCTAGGCAGTGGCTTTTTCATTTGTTCAATAGCCTAAAATGTGTATTTGATCACCTATAAAGAATAGGGGAGGCTCTGAGTGGAGTTGTCTTGCCACAAGCCATGTTCATTTGTTCATGTTGTTTGTGGTTGCCCTCCTGCTACAACAGAGGAGGAGGAAGAAAGGCGGGGGGTGGGGGTGGGGGGTGTAGCAGAGCCCAAAGACCTGCACAGCCCAGCCATTCTCTCTCTCCCCTTTGCAGAGGACATCTGCTTACCCTGACTGTGAACATGTCCACAGTCCCTCTCCACCTGGCCTAGCCTGAGGCCGAGCAAACCTCCTGTAGGAGGCTTTGCAATCTGCAGGTTCTGTTCTCCCAGCTCCATGACCTTTCAGGGTGGTACTACTTCCCAGTCGAGCTTGTTCCTTGCACCTGGAAGTAATCAACCCTCGGCAGGGCGCAGATCCCTTGACTTGTGATTTGGAGACCAGCAGCCCTGTCCTTCCACGCTGCTCACCTCACTCAGCCCGACTGCAGGTTTCAAAGCAGCCCAGACCATGTTCGAATGCATGCCTTCCCTGAATATGCTTCTTTAGGAAGAAGTGGAGACTCGTTGCTGTGAGAAATGCTAATTAACTTGGTTCAGATTCAAGGCTGTTGTGGGGACTGGCGGCTCTGGGGAGCCCAGCCTGTAAGGTGGTGCCCCACAGCAGCTCCTCCAAGGGAAAGGCACAAAACCTAAAGCCACTAGTTTCTAACAGTTTACGGTGACACGAAGGGATATAGTAGAACTGCCCACAGGGTTTCCCAGCCTCCTCTTGCTCCTGCAGAACGGTTGGTGGGTTTGAATAGCCAGCCGGGGGTTAGCAGCCCAATCCCTAACCTACAGGGCTCCTGAGTGAATGGTCCAAAGCCAAACTCAGTGCCATAGAGTCAGTGCTGGCTCGTAGCAGCCCTATAGAACAGGGCAGACCTGCCCTGTGATTCCCCAGACTGTCACTCTTTACGGGAGTAGAAAGCCCTGTCTCCCTCCTCTGGAGCTGCTGGTGGTTTGGAACTGCTAACCTTGCATTTAGCAGCCCAATGTGTAACCACTAGACCACCAGGGCTAAGTGAAGGGTAAGGTGAGATAAACAAATGTCCAGGGCGGTCTGGAAGGGGCAAGATCCCTACCCTACCCCCACCACTGCCCCTCTGCAGTAGACTGAAAAATCCACTCCAGAATAAGAAGAGAAAGGAAGCCCAAGGCGTTTGGTTGATAATCAAGCACTCAGAGATTCAAGACCACCCAGAGCTCCCCCCCCCC